CTGGAAATATCTGGAAATATCTGGAAACATCTGGAAATATCTGGAAACACCCCTCAGAGGCCCGGGATTGGCCGGTGGTGGAAGGGCTTGTGGATGCTGGTGGTTCTGGATTTGTGTGTGAAGCTGCTCCTTTTCTGATGCTAGCTGGGCCCCGTTGAGCGTCGGAAGCCCTGTTTAAGGTGGAAATGGACATTTAAGGTGGACAGCCAGCCTGGGCTGACTTAAGATGGAGCAGGGGCAGGTTCTTGGCCTTGATATAAAGGGATAAGTTGATGCTATGTTTCTTTCCTGACATCTAATACGATTAACTTCTGATTTTAACACAATAATGAATACAACGTGTGAACATTTTTATTATAACATGAGATCGTAAGCGGGATAAGAAAACATAAACCAACAAAAAAACAAAACCAAAATCCAAGGAGGACTTTTCATATGCAAATGAGTAACGAGTGAATCATTAAAATGAAAGAAATATATGTGTATTTAGAAAGAAAAAGAGAAAATAACAGACAAAAATTGCAAAAAATAAATAAAATATAAGACAATAAACAATAAAAAAACACAAACAAAATGATCAGTTACTTCCTGAGGAAAATTACAGATATTTCCCATTCTGAAATTAAACGGGAGTAAAGATGCTCAGAAAAAAATCAGTTTTGTGATCTTTCTATTTCAGGTTTTATTTGAGCTGTTTGTAGAGGCTGAATTTTATCGGTTTATTTTTTCCAAACAGGTCCTGAAGGATAAGAGCTTTTTCAAATATTGTACAAAAATGAGAAGTTACTTCAGGTGGAGACGGGTATTTACCACTTTAACCTCGGAAGTCCTCCAGGTCTGTGACTTCCTGAGAGGACGGTTCTGGTGCATATGTGAAGAATTAAAAACCATTTAACTGAATTACAAATCGGTTTAAACCCGGAAATTCAGAAGGCCAAATAAAAGATCTGGAAAATACATGTTTTACTGACTTATCACAGAACTCTGAACTCCCCTGGAACAGAGCCAGAAGACTTTGGGTCGGGACCTTTTGGAGGTTCTTAAAAGGTTCTTAAAATGGATATGATTTTTAAAAATGTTTTTTTTTTTTTAAAGGGATTTTTTTGAAGGGATGACACGGGACAAAGCTATGAAACAGAATCACTCAGCTCCGCCAAATTCCATTAAATGATGAATAACGTTTTATAACTGGTGTCAATCAGTACAGAAATGTACTTTATACTAGTACTTTATATAGACCACTGTAAAGAAAGCAAAGAAACCTAAAGGTCAATGAAGAAATGGGTTAAAAACATGTGAAGATGCTCCTTTTTTTATTTTTTTATTTTTATTTTTTACCTTTATTTAACCAGGAAGTCCCATTGAGATTCAGAATCACTTTTTCAAGAGAGACCTGGCCAAGGTAGCAGCCAAACCACAAGAAATTCATACATATTTACCACATATTACATTTTTCAAAATAAAATCAGAGCAGTTAAAACACATTGAACATCTCAAGAAAAACAAGCACATACAGGACTGTCTCAGAAAATTAGAATATTGTGATAAAGTTCTTTATTTTCTGTAATGCAATTAAAAATCATGAAATGTCATACATTCTGGATTCATTACAAATCAACTGAAATATCGCGAGCCTTTTATTGTTTTAATTCCTGTCCGTTTTGTGCCGTTAAAGTGTGTAAAGTCTGTATTAAAGTGCAGAATGGGGGGTTCTTTTTTCTACCAATGAGAAAGCGGTCGTGGAATAAAAGGAAGAGCCATTGTTCTGCTTTTGCTGCCAGTTTGAGGCCGACTCTCCGAAGCCACGGGTGAATTTTCTGTGTTTTTATCATTTCTGGCTGAGAGCGTTTGTGCTTTATCTCGCTGTGATAGGAGGAGCACAATGATTAATGAAT